TATTCCGGCACCGCTGCCCTGTTGGTTCGAGGAGCCATCTACATGAAGGATCCAGGGCTCCTCATCCCAGCTCGCGGTTGGCCGAGCTAAGAGAGGTGCCACACTGGCTACTACTACACGGGGTTCGAACTCGACCAACCCGGGAGCTTCGGGCTCACTCGTGGTGGGAGCCTCGCGCTCAATCGGCCTGGGAACATCGGAGCTGAATGTGCATTTGGCTATGAAATCTGCTAAGGCTTGGGCCTTAATGGCAGTTCGCGGCTTGTATTGAAGGTCGTACTCGCTGAGCTCGATGGCCCACTTCGTCAACCGACCGGAGACCTCGGGCTTAAGCAATACTTGCCTCTGAGGTTTGTCGGTAAGGACGGTAACAGTATGAGATTGGTCGACCTACTATGGCGTTGTAGGGAGAGGGGGTCGCTACCACCAGGAAGTTGTGTTCGATTCTGACCACACAAGGCCATGTGCCGATCTGTACAAGTACTACTATTTTCCCAAGGGGCCGGACTTCTTCTCCGCTGAAGCCTACCAAAGGAGTGTCTGCGGGCTTCAGGCCGCTTCTCTGCAACTGGAGCTGGTCAAACGCAGCTTTGAAGAGTATATCGGCCGAGCTGCCTGAGTCGACGAGTATGCACCTGACCTCGAAGTCGTTGATTCTCAGCTTTATTACGAGCGCGTCGTCGTGGGGGTAATGGACCCCTTGCACATCGTCTTCTGTGAAGAAAATTGGTTCTTCCATTCTCGGCCGCTTTGGGGGGTTCTGCTACTCCTGGGTGGCCTCACGAACCGACGTCCGGGCAGCCGCTGAAGTGCAACCCGCAACGACTGAACCTCCCACTATCATGTGGATGGTCCCCCGAACTGGCCTCTCCTCTGGAGGCTGCCTCTGCGGTTGTTCGACCGGCCAGCTGCTGGATTCGGGAGCATCTTTACTGTGCTCCCCTTGCCGACCTGCTCTATTACTATTATTATTATTATTATTTTGTACAAAGTTTCTCAAATATCCGTGATAGATGAGCTCCTCTATCTCGTCGCGGAGATTTTTACAACTCTCGGTACTGTGACTGTGGTCTTTTTGAAAACTGCAATACAGACTCTTATTTCTTTCATTGGAAGTCCCCCTCAGACGAGGTGGCCATTTCACGTACGGGGCATCCTTGATTGCCATCAGGATTTCGGCCCGCTTCGCGTTTAGTGGGGTGTAATCAGCTCGGTCCGGTGCCGGAGCTCGGAACAATTGACCCAGCTTTGCACCCCGAGCTGTTTCCTTTTTTCCTCGGGTGTCCTCTTGACTGAAAGACTCTCCTTCTCTCTTTCTTTTTCGGGTGCGCCCTCACCCTTCTGGTTGATCTCCTCTTCAGTGGCTATGAACTTATCCGCRAGYTTTAGRAACTCGGTTATGGTCGCGGGTTGGTTGACGACCATGTGCCACTTGAACTCTTTGTGCTTCACTCCCTTCTTGGCTGCTGCAAGGCGTACGGCGGGGTCCAGGCGCGGTATTTGCATACAAGCGTCGTTGAACGGCTTGATATAACCCCGGATGGATTCTCCCTCTCTTTGTGCTACGTTGAAGATGCTTTCTTCAGTTCGCGGGCACCGTTTGCTGGTGACAAAGTGAGACGTGAAGGCCTGTGCGAACTGTGCCCAACTTCTTATCGACCCGGGTGCCAAGTTCCGGTACCACGTGTGGGCTGCTCCCCTGAAAGTAGTGGAGAAGGCCACGCACATGCACGACTCACTGGCTCGCGCCAGGTGCATCTGTGACTGAAAGGCATCTACATGATCATTCGGGTTGAACGACCCGTCATACTTGTCAAGAGGGGGGAGCTTGAAATCCTTGGGCATCGGGACTGCCAGGAGTTCGGAAGACAGGGGGGATGGAACCGAGAGGAGGGAAGCTTTGGCTTCGGCCGAGCCTACCTCTTCTTTTCCCATGAGCTCGAGCAAATTGCGGGTGACAGATCGTCGAGCTCGACGGCGGCGTCTCTGCTTCTTGATGGGCTCGGCGTTGGTGCTGCTCACCTCCGCGCTGTCTAGAATGGTTTGCGCCGGGAGTAGCCCGGTCTGCTGGTGATGGCTACGGACAGAAGGGGTCTGCTTGGAGTCTGTTGCCAGGATCTCGAACCGGTTTCAAGGATCGAGGTTTGAAACTTTGACTGTCGAGGCGACGTAGACCTGCCGAGCTGGGGTCCTCCCGACCTGTCCGCCCGCGGCGAGATCGGGGTAGCCGGTCTCTCCCATCTGCCGTGGGGGGAGGCCTGGTTTTTTGGGAGATTTTGGGGGGCCTCTCCTCGGCCGGAGTGCTCGCTTTGGCGGCGAGACTTGGCTTGCTGCGAGGCCAGGTGTTGAGGCTGGAGCTGAGGCTGTTGAAGCTGAGGTTGGGGCAGCTGGGGGAACTGCTGCTGATACTGGTACTGGGAGACCTGGTGCAGCACGTGCTGTTGATTGAGTTGAAGTTATTGGAACTGTTGCATTTGGGCCTGCATGGCCCTCATGCACTGCATCAGGTCCTCCAGCTGGTTCGGACTGGCCGCAGGGGGCACGACCAAAGGTTCGGTGAACGTCGTTCCGACTGTAGCAGGGAGTGGGGCGATGACAAGTGCCATTGTGAGAGGCACATTCAGACTGGGGATTCCGTTCGCTGAGAGGGGGACGGTGAACTGTCCGATGCAGATAGTAGGAAGCTGGGGTTGTTCCCTGGAGTTATCCATTTCCGTGCTCCGTCCGATGTTGCTAGAGGAAGCCATGAGCGTTGGATTGTTTCAAGGAAAAAGAAGGAACTGAAAGAGTTCAGAGGGAAAGGCCTTTTGAAGCGTTTCCCACAGACGGTGCCAAATGATGTAGCGTGATACGGTCACTCCTAGCTGGTGCTCATGTGACTCATAGAAGATACCTGAGAAGAAGAAAATTTCCTGGGGGAGTCACCCGGCGGGAACATTTCGACGATTAAGTTAGTACTGGGTAGGGGAAGCAAGGAAGAAGGTGAAGGCTAAGAGTGAGATAGCACGCGTACTGTAGATCTGAATCCCCTCCCTCTTCGATGCTGAACTCCTTGTAGTAGAAGTCTGTTACTTCTCCCCGTCAGCTTCTGACATGGCGGGTATAATCGTCGTTGCCAACCTGCCGCAGCCGTTATTGGCAAGGCCGAGGTGGAACGCACGGGGCAGTTACTGCTGAGTACGTGCCTGTCAGGCGTAGGATACCTTCTAAAGGTGGCAGGCGCGACGCTGCCTGACGAGGGACACGACTACTGTCACCAGATTTGTCTGGTACGGCGGTCGGGCAGGAGATCTTCCTGCCTTCCCTCATGCGGCTCACCGAGCTACCACAAACCGGGGTGCTTCAGGGCAGACGGGGTGCTACCCAGAAGCACCGAGGTGCTCTTTCCCAGGTGGGTAAAAGTTCGGTATCCCTTAGGGGAGAGCCTGGGTTCTCCGTGCTGGGCGGGGGGCCAACTCGTCGAGGTATTAGCCCTCGGTGAGTTGACTCTCTTTGACTTGGCGCTTCCTCTGTGCCGAGCCAGGATCGTATTGCCAGGCTGGACTGTTCACCAAGCCAGGTCATGTGCACGTGTCCTGGGTTCATAGGATTAAGCCAAATCGTCCTCCATCAGTTATTACGGATAATAATAAATTATTGAAATAATACTAATTATTTAAATATAATAATACTAATAAATTATTATAATTATAAATATATCAGTAATAAAAATTAATTTAAGTAATAATATAAGGATGATAATAATAATAATTTATTTTAAATAACAAATTGACTTGGCCATTCTTATTATAGTTAATTTTAGTTTTTAACAAAGTAATTAGATCATCCTTTTGATTCTTTCAATTTGTTTATACGTCTTTTTTTTTATTAACAAAACCTGTGTACCGCACGGGTTCCCGCTAATGCTATTAATATAAGCACTGGGCCTCATGTGCACCCTTCTCTGTCCCCACAGCCCTACCGCTGACTCCTCTAAGGCTCTAACGTTTCTTTTTATCAGTTTTTTGGTTAAAGTGGGGAGATGCTCCCTTCGACCACGACTACGAGGCGGCCAGGCGGGAGAGGCAGGGTCAATTTCGGAATTTCAACCGTTTTTGAAGGAAACGGAAAATTGAATAATTGACAGCAATAGTAATTTCTCTTTTTTTTTTTTTTTGGGGTTGAAATCAATAGTAAATCTTTATCTTCCTGCTGGGAGCCCAATTATTAACTTCAGAGAAGGAGAGAGAGAGAGAGAGACGTCCAGGTCCAGCGTCACGTTGGTTCCTTTTATCCTTTCTTTACTCACATTTTTTATTTCTGCATTTTCTCCTCGACAAGTTTTGTTTTTAGAGTTTAGACTTTGGAGAGGTTGAGTGCAGCAATTAAACGCTAACGCAGACAGAGGGGGAGAGAGAGAGTAAGAGAGAGGATTACCTGGATTAGGCATTAAATACAATCTCAGAAAGAGAAAATTTTCTCTTAATCCTTTTTACCAGAGGCGGCGAATTCTGGTCCACTGTTTCTTCCTCTCCTTCCACTCTCTTTATCCCTGTGTTTAAGGTGAGAAAAATTCAGATCTTTTGTTTATTTTCTTTGTTTTTCTTCTGATCTAAGCTTAGGCTTCTCGCAAATCGTGGTTTCTTATAATTTTTTTTTTTTGAACTTGTCTCTTTCCCTGCTATTGATTCCGAGCTACGAGGGAATATTCTTCCTCTTTCGCCGTTGTTCTTCTACCAAGTCCCTTTTCTTAAAAATGGTTGCTAGGGTTCTTCATTCTGTTTCTTGTTGTGCTTCTGAACCTGCTTTCTGATGTTATCCTCTCCGTTTTTTTTTCTCTTTTTAAAAAGACTGCGCTTACTATTTGTTTTTATGCTGCTTGGCTCGTCCTACTTTTCATTTCTACAACTTCTCTTTTTGGGCGTTACTTTTCTTCAATTTATTACTGTTATTTCCCATGCAATCATGCTTAAACTGGAATTTACGAGTATTTTTCAATTTATTCTGTCTTTTTCAACAATTAAGTGTTTTCAGAACTCTGAAAGGCTGCTACTTGAAGGTGTATCAAGTTATCCGCATTTTATTTTGATTTGTTCAATTCGTTTAGTTTTTATGTTTTACTTATTTGGCACGCAGATGGTAATTTGATGATTTTGTTTTCTTCTTCTGAATGCTTAACTATTGATTTTCTTGCTTTTGTCATTTACTTAGTTGAGTAATTCGGCACCTTGCTGTATTGTTACTGTTTTTGTATCTCTGGTCTCATTTTCGTGATTTCATTTTCCAAATTGCGGTGAAACATATTGGTCTTGGTTGGGCGGGATTTGGGATGTGAAACACAACTATAACTTTTTCTTTTTAATAAAAATAAATATGACCATAAAATTACCGTAACAATTCTAACGCACCTTTCAACTATTCCTGGAAATGTAGCCTCATATTTTACATATATATGTTTCCTTTTTATCAAAGGAGCATTCTGAGTTCTACTTGATAGGTTTTCTGTTTTCTGTTGCCGGAAGCAGTTTTACAGCTTGTATTCTGGATAGACATACATTTTGGTCTTTGGTACACGTGTTTATTTGCAATGTGTTTTGTGTTTATTGAATATTGATACGAGTTTAGTGAATGAGTTGTGACAATGAAATGTTTGAAGGAATTAATAAGTTTGGCTTGGGGGTGGGACTGTCTAGAATTTTGATAGAAGGTGATGCGTCTAATATAATCAACTTCCTGGTGGGTTCCATGGATCCACCTTGGTGTATTATAAACACCATGGCTGACTGCAGGACGCTTCTCTGTCACTCCCGATCTCTCTTGGTCAATCATGCGCCAAGATGAAAAAATTTGTTGCTGTCTGTGCAGTGGCAAAACATGCTGTTAATTGTAACCATATTGCTACATGGTCTTCTGTTCCTTCTTTCTTGATACCAACTATTCAAAATGATTGTATTACCAAGATTAATGAATGAATTTTGCCTTGTTGGCTTCAAGAAAAAAGTGAATCAGTTATGGGTCTGAGGCTGAATCTGAAGTCAACAGGACATGATGAATTTTTAAATTTTGGCCCTCTTCTTCACTGCTTCTTCTGTATTCTTGTATAGGAAGAAGAACTGTTTTCTGTTTTTTTGCCCGTAGCTTTTCTTCCTCTCCCTGTAACCTTCATCAGCCCTACAAGATAGTGATGGTGACAAGCAGGACCACCTTCTGATTCTCTAGGTTCTGTGTTTGTAGTGCTGGGTATATATGGTTGTGGGGAATCACTAATGTTACAGAGGTCCTTGCATTGCTCGCTTTTGATAAGTCCAACTAGGATGAAGGGATTAAGGCATGATTATGGATACATTTCCTATCACATATTCAAACTTGTATTTTTAACTGCTTAAAAATATGGAAACGTGAGGTTAGATGCTTGGACCTTTAGATGCATGAGACACAAGCCTCATGGATTTCTCTTATTTTATTTTTATTTTTCTTAAGAGGAGAAAAACAAAAAGAGTATAACTGAAAAAATTATTACTTGAACAAGGATTATAAGAATATCAGAAGCTTTATTGGAAGTCATCTCATTCTTAAAAACCCTTTTAAAAAACTACAAATGGCTTTAATGTAAAATAATTCTTCAAAAGGTTTAAAATATGTTGAAATGTAGACATTAACATGCATGTACACACAAAGCATCTCATGGTGTAAAGGATGTGCTTTCTATTTTCACATGTGAACCTCAAAGTGTAACATTTTAGGTGTTTTTATTCAGCCTTGCTCCAAGGTGAGCCTCAAGGGTAGCGCCCCATCAGGTTTTTAAACACTAGTATATTTTTCCCCTGGAAGCGTAGACATTAGCGTGCATGCACACACAAAGCATCTCACAATGTAAAGGATGTGCCTTATAATTTCATACATGGACCTCAAAGTGTAACATTTGAGGTGTTTTTCTTCTTCCTTGCTTCAAGGTGAACCTCAAGGCAAATGCCCTATCAGCTTTTTAAAACACTAGTATTATTTTACTCTGGGTTTTCACTTAGAAGAAACATGGTCTAGTCATAGAAAACAAAACATTTAGATGGATCTAAAATGAACCTGACCTTGGTGAAGTGATCCTATAGGGAGATTAATGTTTCTTCTGTATTCATCTACTATGCTAATGGTATTGCAAATCTGTGCATAAGTAACAAGTTGGCTGGCAACCATTTCTTCTTGTGAACTTATTTCCCTACCGTACTTCTTGCATTTTATTTCCAAGAAACCATATGGAGGATTAGCTGGGATCCTCCTTAAGTCATGACCTTATAGAATGCATAAATTGGTTGCATTTTACCCATTATTGCCCATCAATTAATGGAATCCAATTTTCTGGTCAATTATTCAACAAACCAAATGGTTGGATTGCTCCATTTTCTCTTATGTCTCTTTTCTTTCTGTTCCCTTTTTTGTACAAGTAAAATAAATTGGAAAATGAAGAGAAAATTATTGACCTTGGAAGCTAGAGACCAGAGTGAATGGTAGCAAATGGTTGCCATTTTTCATCACTCTACATTCCAATGTAAAGACTATGCATATTACATACTACAGTTCCAAGGCTCAGGACAATGCTTACATGCTTGGCATAACATGCTTAGTCACTGGTCTTTGGTCTTCCTGAACAGGAGGAATGAGGTCATGGTTGAACTCTGATACAGTAGTTTTTCTTATCATTAAATGACAAGGAAAAGTAAATATTTCTGTAAGCTAGCAAACTGAATCTGTCTTATGCATTGTTTGTCTGCTTTGTAGGCTCTAGTGGATATAACATAACTTACCACTTGGTTGGGGTTCTCTTTTACAGGTCCTGTACCTGAAAGGACTTGCTGTCTATCCTTCTTGTTGCCATGAAATGATGGATATGAAGGATTGGTTTCAATTTGAAGCCTTCATTTCCTTTTTTTTTTCTTTTTCATTTTTATTGTAAATAGTAAAATGTTATTGCTGAAAGCAAAAAGAAAAAAAAAAATACAAGAAAGAAGAGTTTTGAGAGAACATAGTAACATAAACAAATGTCAGTGTAATTGATGCATCTCTTAGTTTATTAAGTTGATTTTCAGTTTAGTTATTCTCTGATATTAAATTCAGTGGGAATCCTTCTTGAGAAGATCCGGATTTAAAAAATGGATGAATGTTATTGTTCACCACAGTGTTCGTCTTTGTAGAAAGAAGTAAAATTATCTTTGTTATTGAAATCTGAATTCCTGTGAATTGTACGATAAAAGAACTAAAATTCTGGCATTATTATGTAGTTATTTTTTATGCATCCATACCTTTTCTGATTTAGAAAACATCTATTGCAGAAGTCACCTAAAGAATTCACAGATTTCATTTTTCAAATTTGATGGAGAAGGTAACTATTAGCCTCTCATCTAAATACCATGAACCCGTATTATTACTGTAAAACAGAGTGAGTCTTCTAGAGAAGGGACTCACACCTATTCCCCAGTTCATAATATATTCAGTACTGAATCAAAATCAACAGGCCAAGATTTAATGGATGCTAACTGTGCATCTGCATGCCCACCACTGTTTATTCGATCAGAATCCCTCAATTCCCCAAGTCGACCACCAGCACCAATGTTCCAACTCCAGAAGATAAGTCCAGACCCAGAACCAAGTAGTCCTGTTTCTTACGAATCTTATCCCCAATATCCCACAAGTGTGTTTTCTAGGTCATCTACTTTCTGTACTGATTTATATATTTCATCTTCAACAAGCTCTGAAACCCATCGTCATCTTGGCAATTTACCCTTTCTCCCACAACCCCAAACATTTGACCAGCCAATTGCAACTGTTCAGTCATCTAAATCTCCATTGCTTCTGAGTGGGGATTCAAGCAATCAAACTGAGGAGAAACGCTCGGAGGATTTGATGAAAGACTTCCTTAATTTTCCGGGAGATGCTTCAGATGGTAGCTTTCATGGTGCAAATTTTGCAAGCGACAGTTTAACATTTACAGAGCAGCTGGATCTACAGATTTTGTCTGCAGAGCTTGATATAGCAATGACTGACAACTCCGAAAATCCCAGGCTTGATGTAAGTACATTTTTCCTCTACACTCATATTATGTGGAAATATTGAAAAGAAATAGATTGTGGAATCTGATGTTGCAATGATCATTGCTCTTTGTTTTAATCTTTATAGCTTTCTTTAATTTCTATAAGACCTTTTTTATTTTTATTTTCTAGGGAAAGAGGTTAATAGTTAGAACTTAGAAGGTGAAGCTGAATCAGGTTTCTAGTAGACATCATTGGATACTTTACCTACATGTGGCTAGCATTAACTTCTAAGTTTCCTTTATATCATAATGGGGAAATATAGGCACTTCCAGATCATGCAAAGGTGTCCACTAATGAAATAGTGGCTATTGCTATCGTAAAGAGAATTTCCTAAGCCAAAAATTGACTTGATCATTCAATATACAAACTGGTTTCCTATTCTTCAACATGCTTTTTGGGTTGTCCTAAGCATGGTATTGACTGGATGGATAGGATCCAATTGTGTCAATTTTGGGATAGAATATATTGAGGAATACATCAAGTTGTAATTTCTTCATTGTTATGCATTCTTTATTGTATTGCTAAGCCATTGGTAGACTGTGTTATGTGATACAACATAAAGTTTCATTTTAATGCTTAACATTAGTTTACTGATTAAAAAATGATACTTAATAGAGTTTTCTAGAATTTGCTGATGTAACCAGATTCTCATAGAAGTTACTTGTGGTGAATCTGGTGATGTCATTTTTTAACAGGATGGTTTAAATCCATGTCATTTAAACTAGAATGTACAAAACTGAAGTTCATCAAATATGTTTTCCTAAATTGATAAGTTCTTTATAGAGGTACTTTTTATTAGTTGAAATTCTGAATAACAACTGAAGTTGATGTAATTTTTTAACAGGATGGTTTAAAACCATGTCATTTGAACTAGAATGTATAACAACTGAAGTTCATCAAATACGTTTTTCTAAATTGAGTAGTTTCTATATAGAGGTATTTTATAATTTGAAATTCTTGATAGTCATGATTACACCTTATCCTGTCCAAATGTATATATTGGCTAAATTATTTTTTGAAGAAGGTAAGGTGAAAACTATATTTAATCAAACATGGGAACATAGTACAACAGAGCGCATGAGAAAGCAGGTCAATCCCCCAAAAGGGGCCCACCACCGCAACAGCAAACCAGCTATAAATCCCACAGACTCCCGGAGTTCAGCAGAGTAGTCAGATTTTGATGCTAGAGCTCCTTTACAACTGAAATCCAAGAGACAAGTTTACGAACCGAAATAGAAATAAGATCATCCCCTTCCTTTTTTGAACCTCTAAATTGTCTTTTATTTCTTTCTGCCCACACTACCCCAATCACAGCCGTCAGAATGGAGAGCCAAACACACTTCCCTCTTTTGCTCAAACCCAGGAGTCTCTAGCACCACAAAAGTTCCTTGACCAACCTAGGCATGGCCCAACCCACTCCCACAGCTTTAAAGTAGTGCTACCACATCTGATAGACAACTAAACAGTGAATGAAAAGGTGATCAACATGCTCCACCACCTGTCCACATAAATTACAGTTCAAGTCAAGAAGTTGCAACCCTCTTCTAACCAAGTTATCCTTGTCAGACATCTGTTCAACACTGTAGTCCAAACCAAAGCATTGATGCTGATGGGGAGTAAGGATTCCAGATTCATTTTGCCGGGGGCAGCCCAAAGCTACTTTCACATAACTTGAGGGAAAAAGACTTAACTGAAACAAACCATCTGCACTCCACTTCCACCACCATTGGTCGTCTCGGCTGGCTAAATTTCATTAATAAGTAATGGTAAATAGGAAAATTATCTTCTTCTGCCATATTGATTTTGTTTTTGTTAGAAGAAAATTAAACAATGAGTCAGGGACTACAAAAACATTAATGTACAAGCTATCATAAGAAAAAAGATATTGGTTTAGCTTTAATAGAGTCGTAGTCTAACAGGCAAGCTGGACTAGAGTTTTTATTGGTTATTATGGAACAAGACAAATAAACTTTTGTCCTTCAAAAGAGTCACATTTTCCCAAACCTGAATTTTAAAAGAAATTATACATTTTAGAAATCTTATTAGCTCAAATCAAAATACATAAATATAAGTGAAGGTGAAAATAAATTAATATGGATCATACTACAATGCTTTAATATGATGTCAGAAGTCTTGAATTCTTAATCCTAGGAGGTTGGGGTCTTTACATGGATATCTTTTATCTTTTCAAGGCCCCTTGAAGCAAGTCAAAACAAGCTGGGGGAGGGGGGGGGGGTTGGAGGCGGTGCAACTGACCCAAATTTTTGGCCCATATATAAGGGGGTTAGGTTTATGATTTTCGTCGCAAGTTACTTTGTTTTTGGTTTAGGGATCAAAGATTAGTTACATTGTTGTTGTTCCTTTGTGGAAATTTTTCCATATGAGGTTCTATCTACAACAACTAGGGCTTCAGCCATTCAAAAAAATTTATAGAAGGAATGCCTAGGCTGAGGCCTGAGGTGCACAAGGCACACACCTGGATTGAAGCAAGGCACTTGTCTTGAAATGCACTTTGCCACCTCGCCGCCTGCACTTAGGTGTGCCTTTTAAAACACTGCTTAGCACCTCAAATCAGTTCTTAAAAGAATAACTGTGGGGTAGATAAATTTCAATTTAGTGACAGCATCTTGCTTTGAAAATTGATTTTTTTTTTATGAAGGAAATATATGAGGCACCCACTCCTGACAGTAGGTTGAAATGCAAGCCATTTCATCAGCCAATCCATCCCATCCAGCCTGTGGTCCCACCTGTTGCTGGTCAAATTCATTCAAGCCCCTCCACTCCTGGGGCTGCAGCTGCTCACAAGCCAAGGATGAGGTGGACACCGGAGCTTCATGAGCGTTTTGTAGAAGCTGTGAACAAGCTTGATGGGGCTGAGAGTAAGCAATTTAACTTTGAACTAGAAAACTAGATTTTCTCCATTTTGCATGATTTAACCTTCATTGTCAGTTCTTTACTAAATCTGCTTAAAATGTTAAACAAACATTTTTTATGATACCAAGATTTTGAAACAGATATAGTCAAAAGTGGTCTTAAAAATTTAAAATATTTGAATGGCTCAAAATTGAGACAAAATTCTTGAGATGCTATCATTTGAAAATTAATACATAGTTAACATATTTTCATAATGGAGTGTAGAGGCAACTCCAAAGGGCGTCTTGAAGCTTATGAATGTTGAGAGTTTAACCATCTACCATGTTAAAAGCCACCTACAGGTAACGTTCATTTTGTCATTTAGATCTTTGAATTAGTTTCTAGTTTTTCTATTTTGCACAAGCTGATATTTTATATACCTATAATTTGCAGAAATACCGACTTGCAAAGTATATGCCAGAGACAAAGGAAGGTAAAAACTACTTGACTGGAAGGAAGTTTTTTATATGATAAACTTGGTAAAGTGGTGTTTTACATTCTTAATTATAAATCAGAAGTCATTAGCTACTTGCGATTGAAAAAAACAAAAGAGCATTAACATGTTAAGATTGTAATATTAAAGAATATTCAACTAAACCGAATCATGATTCCTATCATAAATCACAAGATAATTTTATACAATATCTGCTTCTATAAATTTACCAAAAGATTAAAAATGTTTACATGATAAAAACTTAAAATCTATATAGAAAAGTAATATATCCTGTTAATCCATATCTACCATATATGCACTTAATACAATAGTGCTTACTGCTTGTACACTAAATGCATAAGATGATATAGCCAATTAGGGGGGGGGGGGGATAGGCCTACTTGGCTCCAGTTTCCATCAACCCAAACACAATCCACTGATCAAAAAAAAAAAACCATGTGTTAAAACCTCAACCCTAACCCAATCAGATCTTCAAGTTGAGGTGGGGTGCAAATAGACCTAGTTGGCTCAGGTTGCCGTCAACCCTAACAAAATCCACTGATAAAAAAAAAAAAACTAACACAATCTATGTGTTATAACCTCAACTCTAACCCTAACCCAATCTGATCTTCAAGTTGAGGTTCTCAACCCTGACCATGTTGGATTCCAGTTAAAACTTTTACCAACCAAATTTACAAATATATGCACTAATGCGCACTATCATATTCATGCAAGCAGACATTGTACCTTAGCTTTTTCTCAAAAAATAAAAATGTTACATAGACATCCAATAAAGGTCCAAAGTATCGTTATGTATCGGCCCATATCGGCCAATACGTATCGTTCCAGGACCCTTCCGATACGCCCCTACAGTGGGTGTATCGGGGGTCTGAACGGTTCAGGGGATGGAGGGGTCCTAGACCGGCTCCCCTGAACCAGTTTTGGAAAAAAAAAATATAAAAAAGGTAAAAAAACGAGTATCGAAACGCCCAATACGCCCCTACCGGCATATCGGGCGTATCGATATTTTGAACCTTGCATCCAATTATAGTAATATTTTCAACAAACTACCTTCATCACCATTTTCTTCTCCCACTCACATAAACATGCTTATATACATATATCAATACATGTACACAAGAATATATTACAAGTGTAACATATTGGATCTGGGTTGGGTGTGTATCAACCCTAACCTGACCTAACTTCTATATCAGATTGGCATTTTCAACCATAACCCTAACCAAATCATTAACCCAACCCTTTTTTATCAGGTTGAGTTGGATTGGATTTGTGTTGGAAGTGTAACACATTGGATCTGGGTTGGGTGTGTATCAACCCTAACCTGACTGACTTATATATCAGGTTGGCATTTTTCAACTATAACCCTAACCCAATCATTAACCCAACCTTTTTTATCAGGTTGAGTTGGATTGGATTTGGGTTGGCCCAACCCAAATTGTACCACTAGCTATTCAAATAAACTCTAAATAGGTTTTAGATAACATAAATAATCATATTTCAGTCAGAATTTTAAAACAAAGGCCCCTTGAAAAAATTAAAAGAACAAAAAGGAATGACAAAGTAGAGACTTTTGGTCTCAATTGAATTGATTTTGAATTAATGAATTATATACATTGTAACATTCACAAATAGAATCATAGGATTCAAGCAGTAACCATAAGATTTCTTTTCTTTTTTTTTTTTTTTTTTTGCAGAGAAAGAAATTTAGTCATAAGTTGTGAATTGAAACCTTCGGGATTCACAATTAGAATTGTAAATCATAAGATGTTGATGCACTTTACTGTCCATATCATACCTATGATGCTTCATCTGTTTGGAATGTTTGCTAAATGGGTCAATTCTTGGATATGGCATAGCCTAAATATAAGAGTTATCAAAGACCGGAGCGTGGTATCTCCTTTTTTAAAGTGATACTTGAATGGTAATAAGTAAAACAACCTCATGCTTTGTTTTCAGTTCCATACACCAGCCAATTGAATAATTATTGAAAAAATTGATCTACAAATGAGGCTCAGTTTAGGAAGAGCGCAAATACAAAAATGTACAGTGCAAATACAAGGTTTAGAAATACTGTATATAAGGTTTTGCACTGAACATATTTGTATTTGCGCTCTTCCCAAATGAAGCCTAAGGTACATGAAATAATATTTATCAAACAGATTGGTATCACTTTGCCTCCAAATACTGCCCATGATCATGAAAATGAATGAGGATGGCCATAAATTGAGAGGTTATATTTTTTGACTTGTCTTTCTTTTGGTTGTATAATATGCACAGTTTGCTCAGTGTATGCAGTCTGGATTAACGAGTGTGTCATGTTATACATGGAGAGTGGATGGTAGATGTGGTTGGTTAGATTCAGTTTAGTCACCTTCCTGCATTCAAGAGGAACTCTGAGCTTTTCAACTGTTTCTTTCATCTTACATTGGGACTATCCTTTTTTTTGATGAATGCATTGGGACTACCCTTTAGCCTGTTGAATTGAACTTGTCAGTCAGTTAAACCCACTATTTGAAAAATTCCTTTATATTTCATCACTTTATTTAATATGCACTCAAAATAGAGATTATTTTATTGCTTAAATCTCTTTCTAATAGTCCAATCTTTATTTGATCAAGGAAGTTAGAAAATTAACAAATAGTCAAATACATGAAACTCAAAAAGTGAGACCAACCTAAAATGTAACTCATTTAGAGGTTGGTTGCTTCCATGGATGGCTCTGGAGTTATGTTTTTGAGCCCATATTTGGCTTCATTAAAAAGGACATCCCCCAATGTTGGTCCCAGCCAGTGTTTTAAAAGGCGTAGGAGGCATATGCCTGGAGGCGCTCCCAAAACGCCCTGAGGCGTATGCCAAAGGCGCCGACACCTCTGAGGCGTACGCCTTAGGTGCAAGAGGCGTATGCCTCTTGCGTTTTTTTCACGAGGCGTGATAGAGGCATATGCCTCATGCACATCTGATATAAAAAGACAAAAAGACAGAAAAAAAAGAAAAAAAAAGGAAAGGAAAAGAAAGGGAAGGGAAGAAAAGATAAGGGGAAAGAAAGTAGTTTTGCCCTTGCCCCTTCGGCTGGGGGGCTTCGCCCCCCAGACCCCCCTCGCTTCACTCGCTTGCCTCCGCTTCGACAAGACCCCCCCTCTTTGAATTAACGTTATGCATTTTTATTCTTAATATAAAATATTTTTATTAAAAATAAAGAAAAAATGAGATCCCCCCCTTCCTCTTCATCCTCCTCCTTACCCCCCTCCTCTTAAGGAGGCTTATGCCTCCTTGTGTTCGGGAGGCATACGCCTCACGCCTCTAGGTAGTGGAATACCTTGTGTCACGCCTCCAGGTTTTAAAACATTGGACCCAGCTATCTGGGATCTTGGGAGGGGTAGACTGCATATGTTCCTAACCTTTGGCACCATGTCTGGCTGCATTAAGCAAGAACATTCAAAACATTTTGAATTATATTCCAGCAACAATGTTCTTTCGTGATCGTAAAATAGGAATCAATTTTTGAAATGGCTTTACTCTTCTTGTGAAGACAAGAAGGCTTCAAGCTCTGAAGATAAGAAAGTGGCTTCAACCAGCAAAGAAAGTGATGCACGGTTGAGAAGGTCAATGCCATCCTTTTTTTTCCTGATTGACCAAGTTACAGAGGAACTATTAGTTGCTCATGTAATACTTTTCACTATTGTTACAGGGGCATTCACATCACAGAGGCTCTTAGACTGCAAATGGAAGTACAGAAACAGCTCCATGAACAGCTTGAGGTGTGTATTCTTACTATGCATGGCATGTTCACATTTGAACATTAAGCATTTTAATTCATGGAACTTCTAGTTTTCTTTCTGGGTTAATAACATGCACCTGAGAAGCTGCTCTAACTCGTTCAGCAGTACCTTCTCTGGTCATCTTTCATTGTATTTATTTTCGTTGATTTGGTTCATGATTGAAGAAAGAACATTCTATAAACCTAGTGAGATTCCAGCTGTCGTCTTACAATGTTGCAATGATTTTCACTGTCTTAACTGTTCTTTTCTTTCCTTGTACGTAAGGTACAAAGAGACCTTCAGTTACGTATAGAGGAACATGCCAGATACCTGCAAAAAATATTGGAAGAGCAGCAGAAGGCTGGCAGCACCCTAATCCCTGCTTGTGAACTGCCGTCATTGAGCAAAGATCCAGAAGGGCAGCCCGTGCCTCCATCTGCCTGTGCCTTATCCCAACAAGCTGAATCTAAAACTGAGTCCCCATCCCTTCCAGCAAAGCATAAAGCTACCGACTGTGCTGAACATGAGCAGTTAGCATGTCAGAAGCGGCTTTGCCGTGAAACTAGTCCAGAAATTGCAGAAGCCAAACCAGAAGTAACATCTGATGAACATGTGGTTGAAAATCCGGTCCCATGACTCATCCATTGCCCCAGTCAAGAGATCACATTGTGAAACTGTCTCATTTCCAGTTTCCGTCCGTTTCATTCTCGCAGAAAATTGCTCAGTACCTTTGTACATCCCATGTAAATAAGAAATTGTAAAACTGGAAATGGGTTTACCCAGACCAACTGGGTAGTTGTAGTCTGACTGACTGGTTTTCCTAGTGTTTTGAAGATGATTAATTTTGGGAATCGTTTTGAAATTTGACCATATCATGTCTTCCTGATGAGAGGGATGCTTGGTGCTTATTTACAGTAGAGGTTAGATGTGCTTCAAGTTTCGATATGGTCATTAGTCACTACCTACCAGCTGCGGTCCCAAAAAAAGTGAAATGTTTTCGAGTGGCCATTGAAGGACGTGGAGATTGGAGAATGATTTTACTTGAGGCTGCGAGCGGTATCAGATTGTTTGAATTCAAGATCAAATTCAATCCTGGTGATCCGAATTCGATCTGTTTATATTGGATCAAATATGGATCCGATATATAATCTATTCAATTTGATTATATATCGGATTGATTCAATCTGATTCAATCTATGAGTATCGTTGGTTTGAATGTTGTGTTTTTAGCTGTATACAATTCAATATCTCATGAATAAAATCAAATTTAGATCTTAATGTTACTTTCAAATAAGGTTCAAAGTATCGTTACGTATCGGTTGATACGTATCGTTCTGGGACCTTTCCGATATACTCAGGGGATGAAGGGGTCCTAGACCGGCTCCCCTGAACCAGTTTTAAAAAAAATAAAAAAAAAAGTAAAAAAACAAGTATCGAAACGCCCGATACACCCTTACCAGCGTATCAATATTTTGAACATTACTTTCAAAGTCCAATTTGAGGCGTTACTTGCTGATGGTTCATTAGTAGTTAAAATTGTCACTCGAGCTCGGTTTGGAAAGAGTATAAATACAAATAAGACTTGTTATTCAACAGTATAACATGACTTATATACTCBTGTCAACCGATATCAACATCAATAGATATCTATCTATTATCTATATAGCTAGATTCATCAGAATAATTTGTGAATGAAGTGAATTTTTAAAATTGAATAAATATAAATAATAATAGAAAATTGAAAAATCAAAATTTTTAATTTCGAAAATGGAATATCTTATCATTCAAATTCAATAAAAATGAATTAAATTAAAAAAATGAAATTCATTCAATTCTAAACTAAAAATGAAATTAATTAATAATTAATTCAAATTCAAATTTAAAATTTCATATTAATATAATTAATAATTATAATTAATTTCTGTGGCCCATCAAGATGTCGTTTCACCTGATTCAAGGTGGAGACACATCAATGAATCAAAGGCTTTGATGTTGTTGGTTCAACACAGAGATATTCTAGTGTGAGTGTCCTAGCAAATGTGGTTTGCTCCAAATTATTGGGATGCAATTATTTTTGGGAGAATGAAGGTTTAGCCTAGCGTCAGAATTCTTAGGCCGAATATACAATTGGGGTAGGTGTCAGCTTGGAATTGATGATAATTCATGAGTGGGCTTTGATATATAGGGTGGAGATATTTGGCATTTTGAATTTTTGTAGATCTGCAGTGGAATTCAGAATTCTGCATTGAACTGCAGCGTACTTTTGCATTGTAGATAATTATATAGGGGTGCAGTTTAGGCAGCTCAGATTGAGCTTTTTGTCAAATTTTGAATGGATCTGCCCCAAAAGCCTGAACTTGAAGCAATGTAAAATGTCAACATGGCCAACCTGAGCTGCACCCCTATCCAAATATAGAGTTGTGGGATCTATTGGATTTTAATCTCATAAGAGATTAAATCCAATGGATTTGATTGGTCAATTACATGAGAAATTGCACCTGCACACTTGGTTGAAAAATCAATTTTTCTCTTACAAAAACATAGTTTTGAACTTGTCCCACATTGAAAAATTATAAGTTTTGTTTTCAATATTTCAATAAGAGCTGATTTACACTCCTTAGAATTAGTAGAGGAGAGTATGAGGATTTGATACCACGCAATGCGCACGCACGCATGCGTGTGTGGCACAATGAGGCGCTTTAGAGGCGCACTTTGCTCGCACCCGCGTGGCTCGCGATGGACGGCTCTGGTTTTGGTGCGTTGATGACCGTTGATGACCGTTGATGACCGTTGATGACCGTTGATGAAATCAACGGTTACGATTCGATCGGGTGTGATCAAGAGGCACAATTCAAAGTTAACAGTCACCAACTATTAACTACTTTTTAAACAGTTGTGACTGTTCAAGGTGCTTTCTCTAAACCAGCACCTACCTTTTCTTCATACATCTTCACAAATTATTTAAAGAGCATGAATCAGACTCCAAAACACACAATTTCGAAATTCACTCTCTCTCTCTCTCTCTCTCAGTCCGGTCTGCTACAGTCTCATAGAAGGTTTCTCTAGAGACTCTTCAACTTTGCTGGTTGCAGATTCTCGCCCAAGGCTCTGTTGTATCCTGGGAATGAATTTGCCTGTAACCCAACAACAAACTCAGTAAAACTGAGTGGGGGCAAATAACGTTCTAAAGACAGTATTTTCAGACGCGCCTCAAAACTTCTCATCCAAAGTTACAGTGACCCCATTCTTCCCCAACAGGATCAAACTTGAGCATCCGCAGGCTCTCTCCCCTGTAATGTGTATTGTGTAATACTAAAACTACATTCAGAAACTAATTTCCAACATCGTCCACCATATATGTCTCTGCAAGAAAAAATATTAAGGCTGCGTTTGTTTTCGGAATACACTGTTTTACATTGGTGGAGTTCAATGCCAATGAGTTTAAAATCAGTGAACCGTTAGAACTTTTTTAAAGTGTAATAATCGACGTAAAAGTGCATCGACAAAATAAATATGAACCGACAGTATAATTTTACATCAATTTGTATTTACACCGCAAACAAACATAGCTTAATTAGATATTGTCTGGGGCAATGGACTATGATTGCTTCGGGCGTATGATAGAACAGATCTCCTCGTACAATGAAGGGTGTAGATCAACATCTTGGATCCGTTCGATGTGCGACTGTAGTCTCTTGTGGGTAGAGGAAAAATTATTGATATAGAAATAGAAATAGTGATCTGAGCTTTCCTCCGTCTACGAGTGGAGTCACTTGATCTATTTTTCTAAATGACAAGATTTTAAGTGAGTTGAACTTTATGCTTTCATTTCAATTATTTAGTTCTTTTTTAGTGAAGGGCATCTTTTTTCCCTCAATTTTATGTTTATTTATTTCAATGTTTCTTTTCATAATTATAAAAGTTAAAACTGAGACTCTTGCTAGTTTAATTGTAGATATGAATGTAAATGGCCCTCCCCAGACTGAAGCAGCTGCCACAGCCCAGCCAGCCCAAGCCGCCTAGGCCATCTCCCAGGCAGCCCAGGCCAACCTGACCCAGTCCATGACCCTGACCCGGTCCATGACTTTGACCCATGACCCATTACCTAGAACCCATGATCCATATTCATGACCTAGATTAATGACTCATGACCTTGACCCAAATTTGAACCATGCCCAAATCAATCTATCTAAGCCCACCTCAACCCAACCCTTCTATCCCTGATACTAAACATTAAGTTGTTTGATATTTGTAGATATATTGATTGTGTTTAATATGATTTAACATGTTATGTTTGTATTTTTTTCCCTTTATTGCTTGTTTTACATTTGAATATATGGATATAGCTATAGGCGGTGTTTGGCATGGGTGCCATTTTCTGAGAAAATGGTGCCATGTAGGTGTTACATTAGAAAACAGTGTTGGAAGCAATGCCCTTTTGTTTGGTACCGTTTCCTCAAAAAAAAAAAAAAAACGTTACTTCATACCACGCCTTAGAAATCAGGAAAGTGTGGTCTGGTGCAACACCAAATTTGATGTTTTCTTGGAAAATGGTGCACTGCTGCCAATGATACAATGACATGGCATCATCTTGAACATTGGATAATAAAATCAATGTTGAAAATGTTGCTGCCAGCACTAGTACCAAACAAAACCAATGATGTTTTCTCAAAAACCGCCTATGTGGTAGCACCGTTTCAAAAAACGATGCTTACAATTCCACATGCCCAGTACCGTTTTTCTCAAAAAATGGTGCAATGTTCCTAGCACCGATGCCAAAACCTACATAATAGATGACTTGTACAAATAATAATAAGAGTTTAAATTATTTGAGACTCTTGCTAGTTTAAACCTATCAATATATAAGCACTCCAACTACTAGTCCAGGTTTCATGAAAGGTCTTGGACACAACGATTTTGCAATAATTGATCTATTCAGCAAGGCAAGGAGCCAACTGTGACAAAAGAAAAGAGCACAATTTGAGAATAAAACACAAGATTGCTTTCCAACAAGTCTGGATCTCTTGCCCACGTCTACCCACATAACATCTCAGCCACACATGGAGAATATTTCATTTTCCTACATAGTATTATGCAGGGGAGATGTTCCCAATTCACAGGGATAGTGTGTTGTGGGTAGACGTGGGCAGAGTTCTCGTGGGCAGGAGATCCAGAGTCCTTTCCAATACACACAAATACATAAGATTTAACAGCATTTTGTGCTACATCCATATAAACTCCTAGAAAATTCGAATTTGCTAATCTCAATCAATTTTACACAGTTGTGTCAAGTAAATAGTTTTTATATCATCGAATCAGTCTTCCAAAAGTTTCCTAATTCGTATGCAATTGAGAATAAACGAAGTAAATATATGTAAAAAAATACCTTATAAGAATGGATTTTGATCATCATTTTGTAGAACTCTCCCCTTTGTTGCAACCTTTGCTTGTACCTTGTTATTTTAAAAAGATATCTTTCATCAAAAGGGGCATTGCTTGGTGTAATGGTAAAATCTTGAGTTAATAAGTGTAAGAATGTGGGTCTGAATCCAAAAGCCTTCATGTGAAAAAATGCCAAAGGTTAGATCCAAAGGGCAAATTACATTAATAAGTGCTTAGAATGCATCACAAGACATTACTATCAACAATAATAGTCCAAAAAAAAGGTGAAAGTGAAAATGGAGAAATAAATCCATCAACCAAAAAGACCACTATCCTTAAGCACCGGGAGAGAGAATGTGAGTGAGAAGCATCTGCAAATGGTGAAAATCTATGAAATGCCAAAAGGGAAGATCAAGCCTCCAACAAAGACAAACTCAACAAGAGGCTCTCAAAACAAAGCATCGATCCCAACCACCAAATCCACCATG